AAAATAAAATTTAAAGTAATAAGTTCTTTTATGGACAAATGGATACTATTCAAATATTTTAAAAGAACCCAAACTTTCAACCCAGTCAGACCATTTGCAAATTAGCCAGCAAGATAAATCCAAATGTGAACGAAAACTTGACTCAGGTCCTTAAAAGGAATGAAAGTAATTATTTTTAAATTTACCAAAATTGCAGTAGTTACATTTCTTGTTCCTTTTTAAAAACAAATCATTTTTTAAAGCAGTCAGTTCCTTATAAGTTTTTTAATTAATTTATTTTTTAACTCAAAAATGAAAATTTTATGTATAACACTTTTATCATGTTTTTTCCCCAATATATAAAAACAATTCTTGTTCACTGCAATTAGAGTGGAAGTTCAGGAAGAAATTTTAAAATCTGAGAAAAATACACTCCCAATTCCACCAAGTGCCAGTATCTACAAATGCCCCCGTCGATCTTCCTCTAGTCCTTGCAAATATTCCATTTAGGAGGATGAGACTATTTTTGCAAGCACAATCTTTAATATGAAATTACAACAAAAACTCTTTCATGCACCATTAAAAATTCTTGGTGTAGGACATGTACCATAATTTCCTTAATTGTTCTCTTAATGTTGAAACACCTTGGTGCATAAATATGTGTCTGCATTTGGATATTTCCATAATATATATTCTCAGAAGTGAAATTAGTAGGGTATTAGTACTGTGGAATGTCTTGATATATGGGGCCAAAATGATGTCCTGAAAGTTTATATACTTAATTTATACTTCCATGAGCATTATATGAGAGTGGGTTTTTTTCCCCTGGGCCTATGCCAGCATTAAGATTTATTGTTCTAATTTTTTTTAATTTGATAGAAATGAGATCTTTTTTTTCCCTTGAAGGTATTGAACTCATTTTTTAAAAAGTGACCATGAAAATTTGTATTTCCTCTTCCAATAAGCTGCCCATGTCTTTTGCAGATTTATCTTCTAGCGTTTTAGTACTTTTTAATTATTCTTGATTTGATCAGCTCTTTTGTATATTAAGGATAATAAGCTGCCTATGTCTTTTGCCAATTTATCTTCTGGCATTTTAGTACTTTTTAATTATTCTTGATTTGATGAGCTCTTTTATATATTAAGGATAATAACTAGTGGTACATTGATAAATATTTAACCATCAGCAATCCATTTTGTGAGGGGATCCTAGTTTGTAGGGTTTGCCCATTTCATGGTATAACTATACTTCCACTATGATTTCAAACAAGCAGTACAACGACACTGAACTCAAAGATGGAAAAGTTAATGCACAGTCAGTTCTCACAGACAAATACATGTTCATTGCAGGACTCCGATGAAACCCTTGCCAATAACTTGTTAGTAATGTTTTTCCAGTGTACTTTTTATATCTTAATTGTATTTACAATGCTTTTCACAAGTTTTGCATATTCAAATAGTTTGCTTCTTATCTCACTATGTTGAAGATTAGAAAATTCTTCATATATGAAATAATTTCTATTATTTATGGCTTAATTCATGGGTGCGCACGTGTTCAGGATTTCAGTGATGGAACCCAAAGACTTTCCCTTGCTAAGCACATGTGCTATCACTGAGCTACACTCTCAGACCCTCTGATTTCATTTTAGTCTATTTTTTTGAAAATATTGAGACAAGGCGTGAGGTAAAGATCTAAACGTCTTCTAAGTAAGTAACCAGAGATCCTACCACCTCTTGTAAAATTCATCCTGATCAATTTGTGAGTCTTGTAGATAGAACATTCCTTTCTTATAAGCTTTTACCGAGGTTTTCCTCACAATGTTACATTATGCTACCGGTCATTATTACATTACATTGAACCAATTGGCAGTACCACTACTACACTGTGGTAGCTCCAAGTTCCATTGCATAACTGTTCTTTACTAGAAAAGAAAAGGAAACACATATAAGCAAAAAGATAAAACCAAGCTCTCACTAGTGTTTTTGATATTTTGTTTTCAATTAATGCTTTATTTACTCTTAGGTTGTCTTAGTGTTCCAGTTTAAAAATGGGAAAGATCTATACATGGTCTTTGAAATTCCTGTAATTCATTTGAATTACAAAGAATTACAAAAAATAATTCAAAAATTCTTTTTTACCTAGTAAAATTTGTAAGCCTACATTTAAACATAGTCAAATATAACAACTAAACTTGAATATTTCCACCCATCACAAATTTGTGTTTTCCAGCGTTCCATACTCACATTTTTCTCAAGGAATAAACATTTTTATATGTCAGCACTTCACACCGAAATTTGTCTGTCAAGTAAGACAATTTTTTTCTATGGATAGGTAGGAGTTTTCAATTTTCAAGGTAATATTTATAAATAGGTACAAAAAATCTAAAAACCACTGTTATCAGGACCATTAAGTTGGTAGTGTAAGAAAGTCAGCTTTATTTCCAAAACATCTGACAAGGACAAAATTTTAGCACACATGTGCCATGGAATCTCTCATGTTCTCTAAGAAATCTTTAGGAAAACCCTTTTACTCTATGTGGAACAGTTTGATCCAGATCAACTTGTGTTGACTGTGTTACCTATCTTCACTGTGGTTCTGATTCCTTCCCCAAGGGATCCTGGCTGATGCCTTATTGAAAAATCTTTTTTTTTTTAATTTACCATCAATTGTGAAATAGATTTGTTCATGTGCATCTGAAAAGTTTTTACATCAGTGATAATCAAATGGCAACTCATGGCCATGTTAACACAATAAATATATCGTATTTGGCCTATAGGGTGTTTAAAGATTTTGAATATTGTTTTACATTGAGAGAATCACCTAAAATCTAGATTTCTAGCTTTTGTTGATAAACTATTGCGATATCATTCCAATCTGGCCTCAACTGAAATCAAGCCATTGCAACCCTCTGGATAAAACAGATCAGTTCTCTTGGAGATAGGTCTCTCTCATTTGTTTACCTCATCTAACTATAAAATGCATACACCTGTTATAAATGCTTTATTATCATATATGACAGGAAAATATATAACGAGGATCTTAACTCTAAATTACAGATCTTGGAAGATCAAATAAGAGTTCAAGATCAGGCGGCCACTGGGACTAATTTTGCAGTGCAGGATCTAAACATCAAACACCTGCAAGGAGTTGGAGACCTCCGGGGAAGAGTAGCCAGGTGAGAAGCACTGTCAGATCTTGGCCACTGAATTCTCATTTCCAAATAAATAGCGTATTGTTGAAAACAAGGTTTCAACTTGACACTAGGCGAAACTGACGAGACAGGAGTTGAGAAAATGTCCCAAAGAACTTTGAAAACCTCATGCTACCTGTGGGAGCCATGGGTTACTCGGAATGTCCAGTTTGGTTCCACTGGCAGTGACCAGATTCTTGTCTTTACAGCGCACAACTGCCCAAATGCCAACATCCGTACACAGACACACCCTAACGATCACATATAAAATTCCTATGATGAGTACAACATACAAGGACTAGATGAGAGAAGATATGGACATTGAGGCAGGCTCTTATAGCAAGCCAGTTGAGAAGCAGCAAGCAAGTACATTAAGGCACCAGCTGTGAAGTCCAGAGCAGTAGATGGGCAACACAGGACTTGAATAACATGGAAGGTGAGTTAAGAAAGGGAGTCAGAGACAACTACTGCAGCTTCTGGCTTGGACTGAAGAAATGTGGAATGAAGAGCCACTTTGACAAGAAAGGGGAAGAGAATCAGAGGGCAGTGTTGTATTTGGTTTGCACCGTGCTGTTTATGAGAAGTCTGCAGGACATGGACCAGAATGAGTGAGGAGCTCCAAGGGGAAGGAAGGCGCAGGGGTCAGAAGGGGCCTAGGTTTGGGTTGGCCCACAGCATAAATGATTAGTGGCTCTGGGAAAGACTTTGCCATTCTGAAGTCTGGCTTCATTCCTCCTAAAAATAAAGCTACTATTTAGGAAATAATATTCATGATTCAAAAACTCCCATCAAAGAACTGTCTGACAATCCAGAAACTAAATACAAAAGTTTTTTATATTGTGCATAAGTATATAAATAAAATATGTATCTCTGCAAAGCTTATTATATAATATTTGATCACAAACAGAATTTCATATTATATCTGTGAGTGATAAAGTCAGATAAAATAAGTACAAGCAAACTCACAACTGTACTTAGATATATTTTTGCGAGAAGATGTTGAATGAAATATGATTTGACTCAATTCGGTGGTGCTGATGACAGTCCCATTGTTCTCTGTAAACCTCTTACAAACCTATCATTCTCTTCTTGTAAATCCTGTTTTGAATTCAAGACAAAAGAACAAATGGTCTTTTAAAAAGCAAGGAGTTCATGGACTTACATCAAGATGCACAACCCTTTTTGCCCTGCTCTGTTGTGTGTGTGTGTGTGTGTGTGTGTGCGCGCGTATGTGTGGGTGTGTGGTGCTGGGGATGGAACCCAGAGCCTTGGACACACTACACACATGCTTTACCATTAAACTACCATGTCTTTTTTATTTGTTTATTTATTTTAAAATTGAGTCTCACTATGTTGCCCATATTACCCTGGGATTCCTTGGGTTCCAGCAGCCCTCCCACTTCAGCCCTCATTCCATGCCGCTTTGTCACTACTGGCATGTGCCACTGCATGTGGCTTGCTCCAGTTTCTTACATGCACCTTCACCTTTAGCCTTAAGCGGTGATTCTGGGACAAGTTCTTGGTTTTCCTTGAAGTGTCTCCTCTTTTATGGAAAATTTCTGAAACCTATTTGGTAATCTGAGACTGTATCTGGCTAAAAGCCATGAGAGGTAAATGCATCCTTCCTCTCCTGTTTCTTTTCGGTGTTTTTGCCAAACAAATGACTAATAGACAAACTAAAGAATATTGATTACTGGCTTTCCACATCTAGTGACTTTAATTCCAATTAGAATTTTGGCATAAGTGAAGTGAAGTTGATTATTTTAGCATAATTCCTAGCAAACACTTTAGTCTTCATAAATCAGGCTCAATATTTAACAATTACAATGTTCTTTGACTTTTACACCTTATTATACCCCAGTATAGTGGCAGTTCAAAGCAAACACTTCCAATGAACTGCAGCTCTCAAAGCTGCCCAGCCCACCTTTCACCCTCTCCTCTGCTTGAGAGATTGGTCTCAAGGGCAGAAAAGGGAAAAGGAGAGGCTGTAGAGGGCCCCGTAGGGCTGGCTATGACTTACAGTTTATAGCAGCAGCCAGAGGAGGCCGACCAGCTTGCCCTGTTTGACTCTTTGGGACCAAGGAAAACCTGTGTTTTAAAAAATGATAAATTATGTTGATGTATTGAAAGAAAAAATTGTGTCCGTTGAAGAAGCCTAATGATATTATGGAAATTAGCAACTTTTGAAAAGTTAAGAGAGGATGCTTCTGGCTGGAGTGCAGTAGAGACATCTCAATACCAGTGGAAAATTTAAAAAGGAAAACGAAAACACCATCTTTCACATAAAATGGATTTGCCACAACTGCTAACCACAAGCAGAGCACCCTTACCAAATACCAAACATTGTGGTAGTGAGACAGACACAGTCGTTCTCAGACTTTACATATAATCACTTCATCCAAATCAAGAGTTGTAATCCCAAAAGGCTTAGGCAAAATAATCATAATAAAGCAGTATTTTTAGGGGCTTGGGTGGGCCATCGGAAACATATGGAGCAACACAGAACAGCTAGGGAAGGAGGAGCAGCTGCAGATCCTACTGGTTCCTTATCATTTCCTTTACTCAAGACCTTCCTCCTTTCCAGGGCATACCCAAAAGAGACCAGCTGGAGCACAACGGGCCAAGGAAGGAGAGGAGTGAGTGTCACAACAGAGAAACTATGGCCTAATGTTTGCTGTGAGATACCCCAATCTCTTTCTTAAGGGGACAATCAGGAGCAGTACCCCCAGCCTCAGACTTAAGGAAATATATTTGAAAGCTTCAATACTGAAGGCTTCAGTACAGGATAGCATGTAACATTTACCAAACACACTCACCACTTTGCAACAAGCTAGAAACATTATAGGTTGTCGTAGAGATCAAATCTAACCATGTACAAAAATCACCTCCACTACATCTCCAGGTAGGCAGATCTGAAATGGATGGATGGATGGATGGCAAAAACATAAGTCAAAGACTGATAATGTAGTTCATGAGAGGAACTGCCCAGAAAAGTAAAAGTTCAAACCTAAAGTCTCCTGGTTTCAAAAAAAGTAAGAGAAAAAGAAAGAGTTACAAGACTGCTACATGAATAGTCATGTATAATTTGGCCCCTTTCAAAAACCCTACTGAATCTACAGTAAAAAGATTCTCTCTTTAAAATGTAAGCCCACAAGGTCCAGAGGTATCAGCATAATAGTCTTGGAACACAGAACACAGATGGACATGTGAACAGTGCTTTAGCAGATCTAATAAAGTCAACTTCAAAACTATAGGGTAAGCTGAGAACATCTGGATTTTACACACAGAATTCCCACAAGTTGTCAGGCACTTGTCTCCAGGGAGAGAAACGGAGACAAGCCAGGAAAGGCAGGGCAGGAAGCACTGTACAGAGCCCCCACCATTAAGGACACATTCGAGGACCCTGAGCAGATGTCTGGAACCACATCTGAGAGTCCTAACATCAGATGTACTATTTTTCCTGTATATACATGCCTGTCATAAAGTTTAGTTCATATGATTGGCATAGTAAGAGATTAACAAGAATTCATAGTAAAATAAAAAGTATAACAACATAGTACAATAAAAGTTATGTGAAGGTTCTTTTTCCTAATACCTTACTATACTGTACTCACCTTTTCCATTTAATATTTTTAATCCATGACTGACTACAGGTAACTGAAATGCAGACTGAAAAACTGGAGAAGGGGACATTACTATGGTGTCATTAGCCTTTTAGTTATTGGAAACTTTCAAACCGTAGTCATGTCGTACTTTGAAAAGATACAAATAAATTTAAAAAATAATATTTAAAAAGGTTACCAAATAACAAAAGGAGATACATTGGAATTTCTCAGGGATAAGATAAAATAAAAACTTAAAATGTTACAGGGATTAAATCTACTTTAGACCTGTAATCCCGGCCCATGCCTGTAATCCCAGAACACAGGAGGCTGAGGCAGGAAGATCACTGCAAGCTTGAGGACAACTTTGTCTATACAGTAAGTTCAAGGCCAGCCTGAACTACTTAGCAAGACCCTATCTCAAAAAATACATACATACATATATACATACATACATACACTTTAGAAGCTCTTAAATATAATAAATATAACTAAAAATAACAAGTTAGAAAAACACAAAATGCATAAGCAAACCACACGAAAAGAAAATGCTTTTTAATATTAAATTGGTTGTAAAAACATGATATGACAGACAAGTCATAGACCTAATAGAAAGTCCTGAAGAAGAAACAGAATGAATCCTTCAGAAAAATATATCCATGGCTCTAAGAGAAGAATGTTGTATTGAAACAGCCTCTGGATCAAAAAATAAAACCCTGGAAAAATTGATATAAGAACAACTAAACCAAGATATCCTCGTTGACATTACTGAACATCAAGGATAAAGAATCACTGGGCATGCAGATAGACAAAGCAAATCATCTAAAAGAAAAAAAAATCTAGTTAGCTGAGACTTCTCTGCCTCATCAAGGCCACAAAAGAATGGACCAGTGTCAATCATGTTCATAATGAAAGTAAAAATATGATTGTTTTAGCCACTTTTCTTGTCACTGGGACAAAATACCCGACACCTACAACTTAAAAGAGGGGAGGTTTCTTTTGGCTCACGTTTTGAACATTTCAGTCAGCAGCATGGTCAGCAGCATGGTCCGCAGCATGATGGAAGGGCTGGGCAGAGGAAAGCTGCTTGGCTCATGGCACCCAGGAAGTAGAGAAAGAGCAAGGAGCCAGAGAGAAGGATATACACTTTCAGGTTACGCCCCCAGTGACCTCATTCAACCAAGCCCCACCTCCAGGGTCACATGTAGCTCTACTGCCCCCAAGATTCAATCACTTTTCAAAAGCCCCACCAATGAGCTCATGAGCCTTTGAGGGGGACATCTAGATATAAACCCTAATAATGATCAAAACCAAGATAGCTTTGAAATGTAAGAGGGCAGCCAGGCATTCTTAAGAATTTAAAGGCTCTAACATGCCTGAACTCTTCTTTCAAAATCTGGATGGAAAAATAGGGAATACCAAGGAATAAGCCAAAGTTAAGGATCTCAGGGGGAAAAGTCATAGTTTAAAGGATTGCTAAGAAACATAGGATATTGATACAGAATGAAGACTGAGTAAATATATGAATTCTTGTTATAGAACACAATGCAAATGCCTCTACATTTTGACATTAAAAAATAGCAAAATAGTAAAAAAAAAAACTATTGAAACAACAAGTATTCAAATTTATTTCCTCGTTTTCTTGGCACATGGTAACAGATGCTGCCTAATGTTGAGATGGTAGTTGTAAAAATATAACAATTCCAATCTATGATAGCTTTTTATAACTTCATTTTTTAGAAACAGATCTCTCACAGTGAAGAGACAGACACAGTCCTCTGTGTATGTAGCTTCTATATGCATAGATTCAAGCACCCTTGGACAGAGATTCTTCCTTGTCATTTCTCCCTAAATAATGTAACTATTTACATGACATTTGAGTTCTACTACGTTTTCAAGTAATCTAGCAATGATTTAAAGTATATGAGATGTGCATGGGTTATATACAAATATTATTTAGCCATTTTATATAAGAGACTTAAGCAACTGAGGATTTTGGTATCCGGACGGGGAGAGGGGTTGTAGGTTGTCCTGAAACTATTCCCCTATGGATACCAATGGAGGGTTGTACATAAATAAATATGCGCATGCGTGTGTATCATCTCGATCAGAACTGTAAACAAATGTTAACTGTAGCCCCACCCAGGTCCCTAGCCCTACACTGGGAAGCCACCTGGAGCTGACCCACCCAGCCAGCCTTGTCCCAGGACTCCGGTAAACAACTCAACCTCAGCTGTCTTAAATTTTCCCTAGGCCCGAAATATGCCATCACCTCCGAGTCCAGCCCTTTCTCCTTTGTGCTCTCAGAGGAAGCTAATCAGGCCTCCATTCTCCTCTGGTCTCTGACAATTAACAATATTTTTTTCCGAGAGGTGGGATTTGGAATGATGTTAACTCTTCTCTCTGTTATTTTTTGTTCTTTGTAATATTTGTAAAAATTTTTACAATAGACGCATACTATTTTAACAGAAATAAAATCATTCTACAGAAGGAGGCCGAGAACTTCCCTTTGGAATACGGAGTCAGCTTTGAGAACCTGCTAATCAGTCCTTGACTTCAACATGTATGGGGTCAGGCTTGGGTGAGGGTGAGGTTGGGAGAATAAGGATGAATACGTGGTAACAAGGATGAGCAAATAAATAGCAGCTGCTCATCTTGTGTGTTGGCTCCCTCTCTGCCAGGTACTGCCTGGGTGCTCTGCATGCATCACCTCCTTCCATCCTGAAATACCTTTATGAAGCCATAGTGGTCAGGACGGCCACCACAGTTTTGAAGGCTGAGCATGCAGCACTCCCTGAGAGAGATCCACATAGTTGCCCATGTGTCTGGCACCCACTGGAGGGTGCAGTAGACAAACCATGCAGTGTGCAGTGACCTTAGAATCATTATTCCTTTGGATTTGGATAAAGAAAGCTGAAACTCATAGATGTTATGTTAAGAAACTTGTCCCAGACCTGAAACCTAGGATGTAGCAGAAGCAAGCTTCAAAGCCTGGTGATGTGACCCCAGAGGCCAAATTCTTAACCACTGCACAGACCAGCTTTCCCTGGGGATGGGGAGCAAAGCTGGGATGGAAGGAGGTCACAGAACATGGTGGTAGCAATAGCCACTCCTGTAGTCCCAGGGAGTCTTAAAATGGACATAAGGACATTCCAAATAGTTGAAAACAGGAAGGGCTGTTTTTCTAACAATGACAGTTTCTATACACAAATGTGTAAAATGACTTTCAACCATGACTTATGTGCATGGCATCTTGTGCTCATTCTTTTATTTTTTATGGTACTGGGGATTGAACTCAGGACCTTGCGCTTGTAAGGCAGGCGTGGTGCCACTGAGCTAAATCCCTGGCCCCATCTTGTACTCATTCTTAATCTAGCTGACTCCTAATTTTTCCTCCCAATAGCCTTCCCTCCCTTACCACCCAGTTACCTGGCCATCTCAGGCAAAGTCACCAACTATGCTCACCTTTCGTTCAACTTTTTGGCACCAAAAATCTTAAGGAAAAAAGTCAATTCTGGATCCTAAAAATTACCGACAGTCATAAAACAAACAATACTTACAGCACTTAGCATGACAACATGAAATGTGGTTCCTAATAAATGTTACTTGATGACAGTCAAAGCATTTATTTTACGAAATGAAAATTACAAAGTGATTCCTGATAATTCAGATATACAAAGACATTTCCTGCAGTGGTTTCTCTCTCTCTCCCGCACACATGTGCATTTACTGAAACTGATCATTAATCCCATAACCTGCTGTCCCCCTAGAGAGGCCTCAGGTAATGGTAGAGGGGTTAGCTTCTGCATATTTTTCCTCGCTGATGTGCTGGGGAGCCTGTTAATCTTCAGCTCAGCTGTGTCTCACCAGAGTTCCTTCCCTAAAATGTCAAATGCCACCTTGGGACCAAAGCTCCATTCGTGTGTGAGTATAAACTGTTTCTGTCCCAAGGTCAGACAACACCTAAGTGAGACCACTCGAGGGGCAGGGGTTTGGGAGCCAAATAAAAATTGGTTTTATTTGACTATGGATTGGAGGATTTTGTTTGGGTGGGACAACTTTTCTGTTTAAAGGAGAATTGGCAGCTTGGGGGCAAAGGAAGGAAAATGGATTCAGACCATGCTATAGAACTGGAAAAATGATCAGTTTTGCCTGGCTACAAGCAGTAGGATATATTCTCAAGATATCAAAATCTGCTAACGCTCCTATGACTGAGTTTATATAATACCAAAAATGTAAAATTTTCCCCAGTGTACCCCAGTGTCTCCATGTATACTAACTTTGGGCTCTGGTTTGGACCAATGTATCCAACTTGGTTTCTCTCATCATTAATAGAAAAGAAAAATGAAGCAAGAGATTCCTATATATGCTCCTACATCTACGAACACGTTATTCAAAGGACTCAAGAACTTCTGCCATCAAATGAATGTACTGATCCTACTAGAGTATTAAAAATGTTATGAGCTTGTGGATCTCACATACATCTCCCTCCTGGCACTAGGTGTGATTCGAGCATTGTGAAGCTTTCTGGAGACATCCACATCATCAGGCATGAGCACCGGCAAACTGAGAAAGCAATTCAAGGGCTCATATCTGCCCTAGAAACTGTTGCCAAAAACTTGGATATAAAGGTAACTGAAAATAAACAGGACTTTACGTGTTACTGCCAGAAGTAAGATCACTGTAGCTTATTCAAATGCCCAGTCAGGTGGTCATTTTTAAAAAGAATGCTTCCTTCGAAAGTTTTAATTAGACAGCTCATTCATATATATAGACACCATCAGTGCAGTCAGCTCAGTCAGCGAGTATTTACCCAGTGCTCCCATATTCCTGCCCAGCTGCTCTGGAGAGCATGGCCTGCTTCGTTCCAACACTGCCGTGGCTTCCTTACCCTCCGACTCCCCCTCCAACCCCTGTGGAAGCAGGGATTCTAAGAAAAGGAATTTCCCATGGGAGCTATGATTATTAAAGCTCCAACAATAATACAAGTTGATCACGTTCCGTCCCTATTTAAAACCCTGCAATGGATTATACCTCTTACAAAAAACACAGAAGTCCTTTGGCGAGACTTTAAAGGCCATCTCTTCACTGGCCTCTGCTGATCTCCTGTGCCTTCTGACCTACTCTTTATACTCAGTGATAATGACCTAGCCATAAGTAGCTACCTGATGATCAACCAGGCTGTTCCTTTTGTTATCTGATACTCTTATTATCATTGTCTGAGTAGATTGTCACTGCAGTGATGATTTACTCTTTAATACTTGTACCAGTCTAGATTCTTTGAGCAACAAATGCCATAGAAAGTAGATGAATGAGAGATTTACTGAGGCAGACATCTATGAGGAGAAATGGGGAGAGAGGTGGATGAGACAGAGACCCTCCGGACTGAGATGCAGGTCTGATTCCTGCCAAAATGGCAGGGAGGGAAGGCTGGAGCTACTTCGCCAGAAAAATCATTTATCAAGTTCCTTCGGTGACAGTGAGGTATCCGACGATGGCTGGAGAAGCTACGGCAGGGCATTGTGGACACACAGTGCCAGGTTTCAAGCACAGCACCGGGGCTCTCGGCCAGTTACCGCCCTTGCAGTAGAGCTTAGGGGCGTGTTTTCATGCGAAACACTAGAACGGAGCACCAGAATTTTAAAAGTGCTTTCTTTTATCTCAGGTGGCTGAATTTTTTGTGTCCTTATATGTACTTTTGTTTTTAATATCTACTTTTGTGCAGTAGGAGTCATGTCATGGCCTAAGCTTTTCCCTTTAGGTGACTGTCCAAGATGTTTTATAGCCACATGTGCTTAGTTGTTGCAAATGTTCATGGGCTCTGGGGAAAATGAGTGCTGAATGCTTGTAGGTTACATGGCTTGGTATATAAATCTATTAAATAAAATTTATACTTTTCACATCTTCCTATATCTTTATTTGTATTTTACTTATTCAAACACTAGGGAATAAAGGAAAGCCATTTAAAATTAGTAAAATATGTCCTGTGTTTGACTATCCTAAATAGCTGTTGCTTTTTAGTTCAATACGTAAAGTAAACAAGGTTCAAAATTCTTTACTTTTCACTATGCGTTTTGCTGCTCATTTATAAAAATTGTCACCTTTGTTCCATTTTGTAATATATTTTGTCTTAAATGGCATTTTATCTAACATTAATGTTGCTCTGCCTGCTTTCTTTTCCTTGTCCTTCACCAGGCATAGAGCCTAAGGCTTACTGCTTATTATTTTGTCCAACATTTCTGCTTTACTGGGTTGCAAGTGTACCCCCTCCAGACCACCATTTGGGTGCTATCAGTTGCCCACTGTATCTATTTAAACCCTTCTATTATTCACTCCCTCCTTGTTAAGGGAACTCTGATTGCATTGAACACCCACTTTCTTTCATGTGATCATAGGGTTCAGGAGTAGAATTGTTTAGTCTAAGCCAATCATGCTGTTTTATTCTCCCTGACAGTAGTTAGTTTAGACAAAATTATGTGCTGCAGTTCTGCATCTATATTTTAACCTAGTTCCTATACCTAATGGAACTTCCTCAATTCTTCTAGCAATGCCAAAGGCACTCTTGCTTGTAATTCCACAACTGAAGCTTGAGTTTCTCAGTCTTTATATTTCCTAAGCTATTTCACTTGTGGTCATGTCAGAATGCTATCTGGAAATGGATACGGCCAAATCTTAATGCCAGAGCCTAATTATGTATTTAAACATTTATTCCTTAAGTATGTGTTGAGCATTTACCATTAATGACCTAATGTTCACTAAGAATGTAGGGATGAAAAGATATAATGGCTTACCTTGTAACTGGGGAGGCATAAAGCAAAGAAATAATCCAATTAAATTCATAAGCAAACTAATGGCATTAGTCTTTTCTGTTATATCATTAGGTAGCCTATTATCTAAAATATTATAGGTAGTGGAATGGAACCTTTCCTATTATTTTTTAAATAGTACGACTCTATCTGTGAATCCTACTCATTTGAGGAAATCATTTTCAAAAGCAAACATGCATTCAGGTCTGTTCCTAGCTCCTGTAGGAATAAAGTGTAATTTATGTAACTGCTGGTGGTTTTGCTCATACACAGAAAAGCTCCTTCTTATACTTCCATTAGGTAACACAGCTCTTAGGAAAGATAGAGGCTTCCACCTCTGAGCAAACCTCAAATTTAAAGATGATCCAGGGAGATTATCGCCATGAAATGAATCTTTTGGAATTCAAGTAAGTAAATGTAAGATTTTTAATTCTGTTAAGTGCATTCCAAAGAGTTTTGCCTAATGAAAGCATTGCCATTAACTAAAAACCTATCCCAGGAATTTGAACCTGGCCAAGCAATAAAGTAGCAAGCCAATGCATAGAATATTCTAGACTAAAGTAACTTACACAATATTTATGAAAGAATAAATATAAATATTAATTTTGTCATTCTCTTTGTTGGCATATCTCAGCTACATTGGCATATACATGCTGACCCTTCCTATGGAGAAAATTTAACTTATTACCAATTTTATATTAAAATGCTTCAATGAAAAGCACCATTGAATATAAACTGATTCCCCAAGTTACTGAATATGTTTTAAAGCAATTTTGATTTACAAGCTTTTCCTTTAAGATTTTCTCAAAGATCCTGTACATATTCCTTTACATCATCTCCTTTTAAAACTGTTCCTTATCCCATCTTACACCGAGTTTTTCTTTACTCTATGGAGTAAAGGAGATAAGTCTCCACAATGTTCAAATTACTGGACCCCCCCATCTCTCTTGTTTAAATGGCCACCAAGTCCTGTAATCATGGTGCAGGCAAAGAAAGTTCTAGTCACTTGGATGATGCTACCTCACTGCCCTGCCCTCCCCATTTCCCTCTGTGTTCCACACCATTTAGGTTTAATACCTTGGTTAAATCCAGTGTTCTGATAATACTCTGTTTTCTCCATTTTCCATGTCTCTACTGCATTTTACTAACTTTAAGCCATTAATGATAAGAAGCGCTGCTATATTTGTATACCTCTAAGACATGAAGCCAACAAAGCATAGCATGCCATCATTTTAACACCTATTTTGGACATAATGAAATGAAAAGTATGCATATCCTACAAATGATGAAAACCATGAGTGATTGCTAGAACTTGAAGTGGATGTCTTGGGTAAACAGAGAGATCTGTCTACCTTCTTCATACCTTGAGAAAGCATTTTTTCCCCTAGATTCTTAAATTTTAGCACAATGAGAGTGCTCAGTATATACCTGTGTGGTGCTTGAGCTAATCTTTTTAGTTTGGAATTAAGGCAAAGAAATATAACCAAAGGAAAAGTACCAGAGTAAACTGTTTCTATAGTAAAGTTTAAGAATTCATTTCCTAGGGAAGAGATGGGTCTTACAATCCAGAATGAGACACTGTATTAAAAAGACAAATTATACTAACAAATAGAAAAGATGGAAACAGGAAATATTTGAGATCTGGAGCTGACCACTAAGTATCAATGATACTTAGTTTTTTCAGTCTTTAGTACTATGGGAAATTGGCATACAGGTGCATCCGTCATCAACATAGTTAGATAAGAATCTGAGCATTTTTGTAATAGTGTGATCTACATCTTTTTCATTTTAAGTGTGAAGTCTTAAAATTTCAATAGTACTACAGTAGATAATGTGAATCTATATGCTGTATTTTCTTTAGACAAATAATTATGGGCACTATAATTAATTCAGTTACAAAATTGGCTGTTTCCTATTTAAATTTTCTCCAACTTTTTAAAGAAGTAGTATGTACTTACTGTAACAAAACAAAATAAAAATGAATAAAAAGATCACCATTTCAGCTTCCTAATGTAACCAACGTAAACACCACAAATATATCTTTCCACATTTTCTTCTTGTTAATAGGGATATATAACAGAATAAAGATGTATACATATATGTACAGAAGAAGCAGGTTTTAAAGATAAGTCATACATATTACTCAATAATTTGCTTTTCCCCATTTTATCTTGCCTATTTTTCAAATTCAATGACTATCAGCCTAACCTTATTTTTCAAAGCTGCATAATATTGTAACGTACATGTGTGCCATAATTCTATTTATCTTGTTGTTCAATAGCTTATTTTAAGCTTATGAGCACCACAATCCAAAACTTCTTGTGTATATTGTTAGATTCCGGCACTCTTATTTCTATGAGAAAAATTCCTAGGCCAAGAATCACCTGTGCTTATCACTTTCCAAACTTTGTATTGGAATTTTAAAAGTCATCTTCTTGCCAGTTTGTAGGATTCCTTCACATTAGGGATATTAATCCTTTGACTGAAGTATGGATTATGAACAAGGAAGTAAGGTAGAGAAGGCTCTTTAAAACAGAACATTAGAATCGAGCTTTTAACAAGGTTGTCTCTGAACAAGTAACTCCATGATGTTAAAAATGTACGTAAGTCACTGCTAATATTAGAAAATTGAGATATGTATAAATTTAAAATTAAAGTGAATTTGCTCTTCTTTTTCTAAAGGTAAAACTGGCTCTGAACAAGGGGACGGTAACTTCAATAAAAGCATTTTAATGAGATTAAAGGTTAAGCTTAAGGGATTTTTCCATTTAGAAACTTTAACAAATTCAAGGTTAGTTGTCCTCTAGGCTTATATTGGATATTGAAGGCAGATGCCTGAGACCATGTTGTCTTGGGGTTCTGGGGTTTTCTAGTGAATCCCTAGAACTTTGGGCTGGATCCCTGGAGCACACAAAGGAGAAATGCACTGGAACCTCTGCGAAGCCCTCTCCCTCCGGAAGTGCCTGAGTCAGGTGCTCAGCTAAGTAATGGCCTAAGTCCACAGCTTTCTGCTTATACAGCAAGAATCTTGGCTATTGTGAAATGCAGCCATCTTTTAGTAAGAGTTTGGCAGCAGCAGCATCTGCCAGTCACTCCCTAGATAGCTCTTAATAGTAATTTATATAAAAAAAGTATTTAGTCAATGAAGCAAATGCATAGACTCAAATCTCATCACACCACCTTGAGAATGTTACCACAGTAGGACGTTAAAAACTAAGGCAGGACTACGTCGCATTCATATTTGTATTCTTAAACAGAAGCTGATATAGTGTATTAGTGACTTTTTGAGCGCCTACAAGATAAAAATTTTGTTTTGGAATGTTCCAAGACACAATCCCAGGCACACAGAGTGGGAAGAAAATATAATTCGTCAGGCAGAGATAATTGTAATTGTCACCTACAAATGCATACCAATAACTAAGTTTTCAATAGGTTCACTGCACACTGCTCTGAAGGGTGTCTTATCCCCATTTTAAAGATAAGGACATTTATCATCATTGAGATTAAGGAATCTGCCCAATTCACACAGCTAGAAAGTATCTTGACTCCAAAGCTCAGGCTGTTTTGGGCTGGGGATTTAGATCAGATTTTGCCTGCTGCAAAAGCACAAGGACCCGAGTTTGATCCCCGGGACCAAAAAAAGAAAAAGCTCAGGCTGTTTTTATCAACCCATAATGCCTCCATTTTAGGATCCAACCTATTAATAAATAAGTTGTGCTACAGAAATTTAGGGAAAGGAAAGATTATATTTGCCTGACTGACCAAGAAATAAGCTATGAAGATATTGGGATTTAAGTACATGTACAACTTGGAATGAACAAGAAATAAGTCTTCCTATGAGAGTGGAGTTAGAATTGCTTTGCAACTAGTTTCACTAATTAGAAATCACAGAACATTAATAAGAAATTAGTTTAAGAAGGGTCAACCTGTATGCATAAACTTAGTAGAAAAACAATGTTTCTTGGAATTAATCTCTTGCTACTGATCTGAAGCTCACAATCCTAGACTCAATCACCAAACATAGTAAATGATCTATCTTAAGCACTTTTTCAAATATAATTATAAAAAACTGAAACTATCATCCATGTTCATCAGTTCATCAGAGGCTACTAATTATTTTTTTACATTTGCTTTTGGTCAAAGCCACTATCTGAACTCTTAAGAGCCTGTTAAGAGCAGTAACAGCGTCCAAGAAATCAAAATCGTCATCTTTTAAAAATTTAATTCAGTAGATTGTGACTGCAGACCACCGGCTTGGGGATGTAAGTGAACTGGTGAACTGGCTTAGAGTGGAGCTAGCCCTTGCTGTGCGTTCACTCTGCCTCCACCATTAGCCCTTACCACACCCTCTGTCCCGGGATCTGCTGTGTGTGTTTTTTCCAACTAACTTTTCCTTTGCTCTTTGTAACTGTCTTCCTTAAAATTGCCCTCGGTGTGGATTTGAGCCTGATTCTGTCAATATAAAAATTTAAAAAAACAGTCAGTACCCTATATTCTCCTAGTGGCATCTCTGGCCATAATTTAAAAGTCTGATTTCATGTTTTGAAAAAAATGAAAGAAAAAGCCATCTATCATCTGTCTATCTACCATCTATCTTCTATCTTGAATAAAAATACTCCTACATTCAGTGGCATAGAGATTTAACAACTAAATTGAGGCATTTTAAACAAATTCATCCTGTTGAGATTTTAACTGTGAATTCTACAATTAATAGACTTAGGGCAAATCATGTCCATTTTTCTAGGAAAAGTCTAAGCAAAAGAAAACATTTATATAAGCCTTTATTTTATCCTTTTTACCTTTCTAGGAGAATGCTTTTTAAAATTCTTTTGTATTTTAGTAAATCACCAACAGATAGAGTCTAACTTCTGGTTGTTACAGGGAAGTGAACCTCTAACTGCAAGTAAGCCTTGTAATAAAAGCCTCATAAATAGTAATCCATTTTTATGGCTTTAATTTCAAAATTTCAGTTACTGATTTGCCTTTCCAGAGATGTTACTTAAGTACATTTAGTGGTTCCTTGGTTTCCAGAGGACATTGATTCTGTTTAAGTAATAAGAGAGTAAATATCCAACATTTATTATACAGTAAGTGATCGCTGAAGGCTAGATTCTCAACTGTAAGGCTATCTATCTCTTGATTGTCTGGGACTTACTGTCCCCCTTAACCAGCAGTATTAATTAAAACTTCCACTAGATATTGGGGATGGAAGATGAAAATCAAAACAGAGTATGTTTCTAAATGGTTTGACAAGTTTATGTTGTTTTTAAAATAAGAATCAAGATATATCATGTACAGGTACAAATTCCCTATGATGAATGTGATCATTATGCATACTTAAACTGTACCAATAAACTTAATTAAGAAATAAAAGACATTTGAAGACAAAGAATGAGCCATTTGTTGCTTTAGTTAATACTTATTAGTGGAGCACTTACTATATAGCAGCAATGAACAAAGAAAAACCCCTACTTTCATAGAGCTTAAATTGCAGTGGAGGGCACAGCACACCACTCAGCCTGTATCAGAGGGTGGTGAGCACTTTGAAGTAAAACAAAATAAAGGAATAAGGGGAGTCACATGAGGAGAAAGGGTCCTTTTTAGGGTGGTCAAAAAGAGGTCTGTGTGCTCAGGTGATGTTTGAGCAGAAACATGAATGAAATGCGGGCAGAAGTCGGTGGACATCTGAAGAAGGGTGCTCCAGGCAGAAGCAGCAATGGGCTCAGACGAGGTTGCTCCCAGCACAGGGGGCGGTTGCGCCTGGACATCCCGCAGCTGCGAACCACAGGCACTGTGAATGGGAATCAGGACTAGAGTAAGAACAAAAACAGAAACCAACTTGGTCTGCAATGTTGAGGCTCCCGTCTCTATCAAAAGTATGCTTTCTATGTTGTGAATATCCCTCTGTGTTCAAAATAATGTGAGGACTCAGGGGATGAAGATCAGAATTTAGCTGATCTGCCAATATATAAGTATTGGAAAACAAAATGACTTTTTCCATTCTTTGCTTTCATCATCTAAATCAGGGTTTCTCAACGTCAGCACTATTGATCTTTTAGCTGCTTTTTAAAAATAGTATTGGAGCCGGGTGTGGTGGTGCAGGCCTGCAATCCCAGCACTTGAGAGGCAGAGGCAGGAGGATTACTGTAAATTCAAGGCCAGCCTAAACTACATAGGGAGACCCTGTCTCCAAAAATAAAATAAAATAAAATAAAATATAAAATAAAATGGTATTGGGGATTGAACTCAGGGCCTTCTCACTGAGCTCCACCCCCCGCCCTTTTTCATTTTGAGACAGGGTGTCACTAATTCACCCCAGGCTGGGCTCAGCCTTGTGGTCCCTGTGGTCCTGTGGTCCTCCCAGGTACTGGGAGTCTGTAGCTGGAAAATTCTTTCATGTGGAGCTATTTTTTGCACTGCAGGATGTCTAGAAGCATCTCTGGTCTTTTCCCACTAGAAGCCAGGAGCACATCTCAAAACAACCCAAACCGTCTTCAAGAATTACCAAATGTCCCCAAGGAGGGGTAAAATTGCCCTGAGTCAAAATAAAAATGGAAATGATTTTACGGCCCTTGTTTTATTACGAGACCAAACACTTTTTCAGGAGAGGCAGGTACATGCAGTAGATGTCCACCCTGTCTTCAGCTATTTCCAATGATAAACAGCACTGATTAAATTCTCTGTATATCCTTTTGCCTGAAAACATCACAACATCACAGCAATTATTACTTTAATTGTAAAGCGCCACACATTGTAACACAGTGTGAATATTTTCAATAACAAACTCACATTTTCCCTGCCAATCTGAATCATGAATCCCCATCCCTGCATCCCTCAGTCACTTCAGATACAGATTTCCCTTTCTGCCCTCAGCCACGCTACGGCGACTTTTAGATTGAGGATACATGTCCAACCCCTTTCATCATTATAATGACATCCGCTCCCATTTTTTAAAAATCCTTCATTCTTTTTCTTTGCCTTTCCTTCCTTTCCCCTTCCCTTCTCCCCAGTTTTTCTTTCCTTTTGAACAATTTCTTAAATGAGAAAACAAGGATGAAATGGAAACAAAGCTTTGCAAATAAGGAAGGGAAGAGGAGTTGGGAAAGGGGAGGGAAACGGGAAAAAAAGAAGAATCAAGATACATCATGTACAGGGCCAGGGATTTAGCTCAGTGGTTCCACCAGCAGCCTCACAAGCACAAGGTCCTGAGTTCGATCCTCGTACCAAAAAAATAGAAGATATATCATGTACAAATTCCCTATGATGAATGTGATCATTATGTGTATCTAAATTGTACCAATAAACTGAATGAAAAATCCTTCATTCTCTGTTAATGCTCATACGGTACAGCATCTTGATGCCAGAAGTCCCCTCCTGCACCTCTGTTAGTTCTATTTTTTGCTCCACATGAGTAAATCAGCATCTTTCTAAGCACATACATACCCCAGCACTACCAAAAATATTCACTCTCAAAGATCCATTGGTGGCGATGGGGACTTCACTGAAGATTTCACCCGAGACAGTGACAACCTAAAGTCGCCCTCAGGGCATTACCAAGGTCCTGCTGGGTGCTCTCCCCTCTCCCCTGCCTCTGAGCCTTCTCCCTGGACAGTGCAGGTCCTCTCTGCCCCAGTTCCTCTCCCAGCCTCATACCAGCACCTGTAGGGCAGGGAGCTGCAAACTACCACCCAAACCAGGTCTGCTGTGGCTATGAATGGTTTTTATACTTTTGAATCATCTTTTTTTAAAGAACTAGATAGCATGACATGTAAATATATCTGAAATGTGATCAGAACACAGCCAAGTTTGTCCGTGCACGTCTGTCTGCAGCTGCTCTCCTGCTGCAATACAGTGGTGAGGGGTTACCACAAGGACCAGGAGGCCCGCAAACCCCAATGCATTTACAAGCTGGCCTTTTACAGAGAGCGTTTGGTGACCCCTCCCTAGAGTCATACGCCCCACTCCACGTGACTGGTCAGCTTCTCCTCCACACATAATGAGCCCCGCAACCCGAGAGGAATTCTGCATGGACAGCACCTGCGTTGCTGAGTGGATGTGTTAGCAGCAAGCTGGCAGTGCACCTGACTGTGTATGGAGGTGTTTAGGGTACACTGAGGGGTGCTGATAGCAGCTAGCCTGAACTCAGAGCCAGGGCAGGGCCCCCGGGCCATTACCTTTCTTCTGCATCTCCCACATTATGCCATGAGCCTGTGGCTAGCCACATCCAGCCTCATCTTCCTGCGGACATTCTAACAGTGAATTTGTATTTTGTATTTAAATTCACTTACTAAAACAGATCAAAACATTTTTCCTTAGATTTAACTCTCTTTCGAGTAATCTGCATGAAGAAGTTGAGAACAATCAAAAATGGACAGAGAACCAGTTTATCAAACATAGACAAGACCTCCTGGCCCATATAAATGAATGTCTGAAGGTCCTGCAGGAAAAACTGGTAAGCGGCTCTGTTATTTCATGAAGTTCAGCGGCATGGTCACTGTCTGGATGTTAACCATGAGTAAAGGTCTGGAAGTGCAAGGTTCTGAGTTCGATCCCTGGTATCAAAACCCCCACCACATTTATAGCAATCTTCACTGCACCGTAACTTAACTGTTTAGCATTGCAATAGGAATCCAGCAACCTGTCTTCTGGTCCTGCTTGCTACTTCCCAACTCTGCAAACCTGCACATCTCAGTTTGCTCTCCTTTTACCAAAATAGCCTGAAGAGTTTCTTTTAAAAGTACAGATTCTTGGGGACGGAGCTTTAGCTCAGTGATTCCGCCGCCTGCCTTGCAAGCGCAAGGTCCCAAGTTTGATCCCCGGTACCAAAAAAATAAAAATAAATAAAAATACAGATTCTTAAAATTTGTACTAAAAATACAGATTCTTACCCTAGACCTAGGGAGTCAGCTCTCTGGGTACCTCCCTTGGGAATTTGTGCTTTTAGACAAGCTCCCTGGGTGGTGCTTAGGCACGAGTAAAGCTTGGAAAATTTTGGCCAAACAAGTAATTTAACCTCTCTGGAGATCTGCTAATAGGTTGCAAATTTTGAAAACTCCTTTTCCATGTCAGACCTTGTGAAGAAAGCCCCAAGCTTTGGGGTGAGCCTGCCACGGTGCTGACAAATGCACATATTTCATGTTCCCTTCTCTCACTGCCACCAACCATGCCCAATGGAGAGGGCACCATGGGGTCATCACTGCAGTCAGTGGCTACAGGTTATACTGGAGATTTAAATGTGTTTGAGAACTTTCGTAGAGGAGCTTTAGGCAACTTGTTTTTGTCTTCAGCCCCTACCTGAGCTTGCAAATAACTGAGTGAGGTAGGAACCAAGAGTTAGAGGCAAACATAAGAGTTTCACTAACAGGCAATGATTTCTGCAGTCAGATCTGCAGTTGTCAAGTGGGCTTGCTAGTTCTTCACCCCCAAATTAGGCAAATTCCTCTATCAGCTTCAGGCAGCACTAGGTGACTTTGGGGGTCACCCTGAAGGCAGATGCTCCGGGAAGGATAGGAGACTGGAATCCACCATTACTGGGGCAGAAGGGACCAGAGATGAGAAGCAAAGGGGCTATGCCAGTCATGCCATTTCTGCTCCCAAATTCCCTGTGGGAGGGGGAGAAGAGAACTAGCCTGAGGCTGCCTTTGCATCCCCACCCTGCTGCCTATGAGAATCAACTGGAAAGCTTTCAAACTATATGAATTCCTGAGCTCCATCACAAACCAATTGTGTCAGAATTTCTGGAGGAGAATATGATCCAGGTAATTGCAATAAATAGCTGGCATGGAGAGTCACTATTCTAGCTGAGTGTATCCACATGGACCTATGAAGTTCTAGGGAATAAGGACTTCTAGCACTCAGGAGTGTGTCCATGGAACACAGGCAAGGGAAGCCAAAAAATTTTCCTTTGCTACACTTCTTTAAATATGAGACTAAAGTTGCAAACTCTCAAAGCATCTCAGCAAGACCACAGTCCTTTCCTCGCATAAACAAGAATTTTAGAATTTCTAAAAATTTTAGAAACTACAAACAAACAAGGTCAAACAAAGGGATGAATTCTTCTGTTTGTGAACACAGTTCTGGGTACAAGGGATCTTGGTTTGAATTTTCATACTTTGCATGGAATAACAAACATCCTAAGAACATTTTCTCCAAGCTGAAATATAAATTCATATAAGTTTTCTTCTTTACAGTTTTATCACATGATTTCTTTCCTAGGAAAAGTCTACAGATAGAACAGAAGGAAAAATGCTGCAGCTTTCAAGCAAATTAGAGAATTTCATCAATTCACAGAAACAGGAAGTAGAACTAAACAAAGTAAAGCATATAGAAAATAAATTGTCAAAAAAGATGAACCAAATGGAAAAGCAGATCTGGAATGAACTAGAAAAAATGCAGAATGAGTATCAATCAGGTAAGCAAGTACATTTTATTAAATAAAAAACAACTGTCTTTTTTGTCCAGTTCCTCAAAAGGTTTCTATTTTGAGGAATCAGTCTTGTCATCAGTGACATCATTATGTATTTAATCTGGCTTCCTTAAACGGCCCATAGGATGTTAACTTACCTCTGGGAGGTACGTAAATAAATCAACTTTCTTCAGCCACCATAGGCAATGTCACAAACCTGCCATTGCTCGGAGATTTTTTTTTTTTACCTTTCAAAAATCACTGAATCATAGAATTTTTAAACATGCAAAGTCCTTGGAGATCACCAAGACCTGACTTTGGGGTATATTATGAAACTAGAAGCCCCAGTCAAACGCCTCTCTCATTGAGCAACAGGTAATGAGCCTAGACAGATGTCAGACTGGAAACTTGACCTTTAGAAATAAGGAAGAGAGATGAATTAGCAAAGTCCAGTGTAATAACTGCTTTTCTTCTTAAGAAGCTAATGGCAGCAGTGTCAAGCTGAGCTAACATCAAAGAGGATTAATTTGAAAGGCTCATCTAATTTGTAAAGGGAAGGACATGCCGAAGGTGCTGTGGAGAAGCCATCTGCCTCCAGTCACAATTCAGAGGGAATTATAGGAGCAGAGGACTTTCCTTATTAGTCAAAGTCCCAGTGCTTTTTCTGTCCTCCACATCTCAGAAAAATCCATGGGCAAATTCCACAAACTTCTGGTCCTGTAAAGAAACACGTTGGAGGTGCCCTGAAGACACCATGGTATCACTCTACCTGATGTTCCTTGCATATAAATAAATATTGCTACCTTCACAACCCTCACTTCCTACCAGCAAGTAAAATAATGAGTTACCTGGCCAGGGATCATGCCCCTAATATAACTGGTCCTTCTAATGAGGGCCTTGTCTTTTGCTTAACATTTAATTTTACTCAAATTCAAGAAGTGAGGAGAAATTTGCAATCTGTATTTCTACAATCTTAGTTGCAATCCGAGTTTACTAAGTGGGAGTTCTACCAAAGGGCAACTGCAAACTAACAGTTTGCTCCCTTATGCCTTTAGTAAAAATGTGTAGAGAAGCCACTGGGTGAAAGGCCTTAGTCAATAGGAAATGGTCTCTTCCTAAGAAGTTTGAGGTCCGGTATAAGAAAGACACAAAATGCTGGAGGAAGATGGCAGCAGGCGGCCATTCTTTGGGGCCTTCAAACAGGTTCCTTTCAGAGAAGTTTTTAAATCTTATCTGTGGTCTTTACATTCAATTTGGTAACAAGAATTTTTTTTTTAAAAAGTCACGCAAATCTCTTGTGAAAGCATATAGGAAAAGAAAATATTTTAAACATAGAATTATTTCAATATACAGTATATTTGGGAAGAGGGAAAAGAAAATAAAATGTCACAATAAAACCAGACACGAGTTAAAACACTATTACTAATGCATCATCACATATAAGAAGTAGATAATGTATATTTTTAATATTTATTCATTTATTTATTTTGGGGGTATTGGGGACTGAACACAGGGCCTTCACACTGAGCTACACTCCCAGCCATTTTTCGTTATTTTTTAAATTTTGAAACAGGGTCTCACTAAGTCACTAATTTGCCTACTGCAATTATTTGCAGTCCTGCCTCAGCCTCCCAAAATGCTGGGATTACAGGCAAACACCACCATACCTAGTTCTGTATGTTTTTAGATGGTTCTTAATGGAATTTAATGTGCTTTGAATTAAATAATGATCAATTATGGCAGTATTGCTGATTAGCAAGTTTGTTAAAAATATATTCCAATGCATTGTTTAATTTAGTATTTCTATTCTTATTTCCTCTCCCAGCGTTTCAATCAATTCATGACTCTCTCAACTCCCTCCAACAAATACAGAAAACAAAAATGAATCTAGAGAAATATAAAGTACAGAAAGACATAAAGAAATTACAGCGTAAGATAGTAGAACTCCAGGAAGTTTAAAATTTTCCAATTAATCACCAATTTTTCACCAGTTAATGGAATGGCTCGTTGGGAAAAGTGAAGAAAATTAATATTTCTAGGATGTTTCTACTTCCAATGTCTGCATTTCTCGCCACCATTTAAGGAGATGAATGTACTTGGAAAAACAATAAAGCAAGAACCTTTATGATATCTTCAAATTAGTGAACAAATTAAGGAATTTATTCATATATATGCCTTTTAATATTCTTTTGTCTACAAATTAAAAGAAGAGTCATCCATATAATGTATACTGATGAATAAAGTAAAGCTAGGTGTAACAGATAATAGAATAGCAAGAACTAAGGCAAATTGGAGACTACTGACTCTCTGGAAATACCACTTACAAATCACTACTAACATGAATTTAGTCAATTATTGTGAAAAAAATTGCTTTTTACGAGCATTAATAAGCATTAATGCATTAAGAGCATTTTTAAGCATTAATATGTAGTTCAAAATAGTTCTTCAATTACCAGGGAAATATATTTGGAAAAGATATACCCAATGGGCTGTCAATTTGCAAACTCTGACCATGAGATTTTCCTAACAATCTCAGTGTATATAGTAAGTCTAGATTATGCCTATTTAAAATATATTTTTATTGTACTGAATTTGTACAAATTATGATCAAGTAAGTACTAACCCATGCAAGGTAAGAAAATGTAATACCTTCCATATATCCCACACAATTTGATCTAGGTGCTAAATCCAGAAGTACTTCAAAAACACTAATTTCCTATAAAATTATGTCTAGCTTTTCTGGATATAAATGTCTAATGTAGAGCCTGGTATGAAGCACTGAGATCGTGAAAAATAAACATGCTTCATGTCAATGGCTAATTTCTAATCACAGAATTTCTGTAAACCTGGCAAAGGGAACCTTGCTTCAGATTTAGGTAGCTTCCTTGGATTACAAAAGAAGATGATAATTTCTCCTGTAATAAAGAACAAATTTACCTTCTAATGTCCACTTCTCTAATTTTTAATATGTGAAGTATCTCCATTCATTGGTATTAGTAAGCTGTACGAAGCACTATTGGCTCTATAATTGAAAGGATTTTCATCATAGGATTTAATAGTTTAAAATGCAATAGTAAGTGCTGTTGCCAATCAAATATTATATTAGGATAAAGAGCTAATATCCTAAGTAATCGCAAACTCTTACAAGACAGTAAGAAAATAACAAACCCAACATTTTATTTTCAAAATGGGCAAAGAATATGAATAGGCAAATGACAAAAAAGCAAAATAATCAATGATAGTATAAAAAGTTGACTAAATCTCAGCATTTCCTGCACTACCTCCCTCTTACTAAAATCTGCTCTTGGCAAACAGGGAAATCCCTTGACATTGCCTGTGGCCATTTTTGGGGATATAATATCAAAAATACAGGTAACCAAAGCAAAAATAAACAAGTGGAACCACATCAAATAAAAAGCTTCCATACTGAAAAGGGAACAACAAAATGAAAGACAATACATGGAACAGGATAAAATACAGTCATCCCTTGGTATCGACATTGAACAGATTCAGAACCACCCATTCCTGAAATCCACAGATGCTCAAGTCTCTTTTATATAACAGTGTAGTATCTGCTTAAGTCCTATGCACATAATCTCATATGTGCTTTTTTTTTCAGTGCTAGGCCTCAAACCTCACACACAGTAGGCCTATGCTCTATACCGAGCATGGTATCCTCTGTCCCTCCTACATACTTTAAATCATCTCTAGATTATGTATCATATCTAATACAATGTAAGTGCTATGGAAATAGTTTGTTATGCTGTGCTGATTAGGGAATAATAACAAGTCTGAAAATGTTTGATACAGGCACAATTTTTTCTTTTTTTTAAAATTGATCAATGGTTGGTTGGATCCATGGATGAAGAATATGCAAATATGGAGGTTTGACTATACTTGATGATTGGCTAATATCAAAAACATAAGAACCTTATATAACTCAATAGTAGAAAAACAAAAAAAAATCCAAATAATCCAATTAAAAACTTTCAAAGAACCTAAATAGACATTTTTCCAAACATATACAAATGGCCAACAGGTACATGGGAAAGTGCTCAATATCACTAATCATCAGGGATATTCAAATTAAAATGACAATGAAATACTACTGCACATCAGTTGGAAAACCAATGATGAATCTGTCTTAGTCATTTTCTCTTCACTGGGATGAAATATCTGACACCCCTAACTTAAAGGGCGAGCTTATTTTGGCTTACAGATTCAATCCATGCTTGGCTGGCTCCAAGGTAGAAACAGCATGGTGGAAGGGCATAACAGAGGAAAGTTACATTATGGTGGGCAGGAAGCAGAGAGTAAAGGGAGGAGCTGAGGAAGGAGATACACTCTTCAAGGTCACAACCCCAGTGATCTGCCTCTTCCAACCAGGCCCTACCATCTAACAGCACATTCTGTTCTGAATTCTTCAGTGGATACATTCATTGATGAGTCTCATGATCCCATGGTTCAATCACCTCCCAAAAGTCCACCCTCTGACACATGAATCTTGTGGGGGACATTCAAATCTAAACCATAACAGGAATACTATTTTAAAAAGTCAATGATAACTATTAGTGGGCATGTAGAGAAAAGGAAACTCTAGTTCACTGTTAGGGGAACTGTAAACTGGTACAGCCAATATAGAAAACTATACAAAGGTTACTCAGAAAACTAAAAACAGAACTACCATATGATCCAGCAATCCCATTTCTGGGTATTCAAAGGAAATGAAATCAGTATCTTGAGATATTTGTACTCCTATGTTCACTTCAGCATTATTTAAGCAATATAATAGGGAAAAACTCTGTGTCCATTGGCAGATGAATGGATCGAGGAAATGTGGTATACATATACAATAAAATTTTACTGTCTTAAAAAAGGAAATACTGCCATTTTAAACAACATAGATAAACCTAGTGAACATAATGCTATGTGAAATAAGCCAGACAGAAAAATGTTGCATGACCTCACTTATATATGGAATATAAAGAAGTCAAACTCATAGAAACAGAGAATGTAACAGTAGTTTATAGGGGATGGGGAGCTGGGTAAAAGGAGGGATTTCTGTCTGTGTTAGCTTTCCATTGCTGTGATAAAAAAAAAAAAACCCTGAAAAAAATCAACATAAAAGAATGGTTTATTTTGGCTCATGGTTTTAGAGGCTTCAATCCATGGTCACTTGGACTTGTTTTTTTTTTTTGGTAGCGGAGATCGAACTTGGGTCCTTGAGCTTGCGAGGCAGGCGGCAGAACCACTGAGCTAAATCCCCAGCCTGGACTTGTTGTTTTGAGCTCATATAGGCAGAGTCTATTATACTGGTGGACGTGCATAATAGAGGAAGACTGTTCACTTTGTGGCAGCTAGGAAGCACAGAGTGGAAGGGGCCAGAGCTCTAATATGTCCTTGAAGAGCAAGCCCCAATGACCTAATTTTTTTCCACTAGGCCCTACCTCTTAAAGGTTCTATCACTTCACAACAGTGTCACTGGTTGGGAACCAAGTCTTTGGCACATGGCCTTTAAGACTCAAACCATAACACAAAGAGTACAAACTTCATATGATGATTAAGTTATGGGGAGCTCATACACAGCATGGTGGCAAACACAGTCCATTTTCCATTACTATAACAAAATATCTGAGGCAGTAGACTTTATAAAGGAAAGAATGTTATTTAGCTCACTGTTCCTGGGGTTGAAGGGCATAGTGCTAGAGCTTTGATGAAGACCTCATGGTCAGTGTCATCACAATGGTGGGAGCATGTTTAGAGGAAGAGATCACATAGCCAAATAAGAAACCAAAGAGTAGAAGTGGCCAGACTTGTTCTTTTACAACAACTCTCTCACAAGAACTAACTAATACAGGGCCCCCACAGAAACTATCTTTATCCCTTGTTAAGGCAGCACCTCTAATGGGCTCCCACTAGGCTCCACCCACCTCTTCAAGGTTCTACCACCCCAACACCAACACACTAAGAACCAAGACTCCAGCAGAAGAACCCTTGGGGACAGACCACACCCAAACCACAGCAAGGACTTTTTTTTTTCAGTTAATAAGAATGGATTGCATATTTGAAATTTATAGTCAGAGTGTTTTTACCACACACATAAAATAACTATGAAGTTAAGAATATGTTAGTCTGATTGTAATAATAGTATCATGTATATGTACACTAACATATCACATTGTACATAGTAAGAATGTTTAAGGCTGCTCTTTGGGGAAAACATCATATAAAGTTATTCATACTGAGGACTAAATGATAATGTTCCAAGCGTCTTGCTTCTCTTTTGAAAATGAAGCACAAAGCCTTCACCTCATTCCACACAGGTTAACTGCTTTCTCAGCTCCACTGTGAGGTAGAAATGTTCCTTCAGTACATCAAGGCTCACAGGCAAAGAAACAGAATACCCAGGGTGCTCTAAATGCCAGCAGCTTCCTTTCTTTTATAGAAACTTTCCAAACCACCCATCACAACAGCAAGTAGTATGCAAAAATACCAAAAAAGAGAAAACTGTCAGGCACATACACACAATTACCTTACAAATGGATCTCCAAACTTTTTGTGAGATATTACTCTACACATCTTCCCATACACTCATGTGTAAATTTCTGTGGAGACAATATTAAACAACCTAAACATGAACACTATCCAAGGGGAAATTACAGCTTACTGGAAAAGATCAACAATTAAATTTGAAAATGTATCCATCAGCAAGCAAAGGGAGTGACAGGAGCATCTGGGAGAGGCAGTTAGCATAAACCTGAGCGTAAAAAAGTTGTCTACATTGAGACCTCTATGGTATAAGCAGATGTTAGCCATGGGAGAGACCCTTAATTGGTAGAAGTGAGGGCTCAGGCAGATGCAGCAGGCTGAGCAAAGGTCTGGAGGCCAAGAGAACAGGCCACATGCTAGGAACTTCAAGAAGCTCAGCTGCAGAGCCCAGTGTATCAAGGAGGTGAGGGAAGGAGAATAAAGGGAGTGGGTGGTGAGAGATAAGTAGGAGAGGGTAGGAGAGTGGGGGTCTAACCACTAAGGGTCTTGTAACTCGTGTTGAGGGATTTGGGTTTTATCTTAAGGACCCAGGGAAGCCTATAAGTATTCTGAAGAGGACGGTGACATCATCAGATTTGCATTTTTAAAGATCCTTCTGGTTGTAGTGCAGACAATAAAGACAGAGTGGGAGAAGCAAATTTGAGTGGGAGAAGACAAAGATGAAGCAGCAGAGTGTGGACAATGAGCTGAGTTTTAAACCAAGGCATCCACAAGATATCACAGTGGAGGAGTCCAGTGGTTAGAGTGACCAGTCCTGGACTGGGGATTTAGCTTTGGAAGACACCACCAGAGGAAAGATTATTGGAGTTATAGGAGAGGAAGACATTGCCTAGGACCAGGTGTAGTGGGAGTTGGGAAAACAGCTGCAGTGAGGGGAAGAGTCTCAAAGCATATCAGCACTCAAGGAGTGAAGAGGCAGAGGAGTCCAGATGAGTATGTGGAGAGTTAGCAGTGAAGTGTGAAGGGGTGTCATCATTGGAAAGTTTCAGTCTTTCCTGGGAGTTCCTACTGGTGGAGGTATCAGCAATTAATTGGGCATTCTACCAGTATTGCCTCACATTAGATCCGTCTACCAAAGAGAATCCTGTTCCTATAATGTAAACATGAGAATTCTTAATAGAGAATGGTTATAAATGCTTTCTTGATTCCTCTCCCATACCACAGAGAACTATGAGAAACTGAAAGTGTAAATAAGGATCAAAATGTATAACAGATAATGTGAAATAGGAAGAAAAGGTCCAAATGGGAAGGGGAAGTGGGAGATGGAAAGGAAAGGAAAGGAAAGGAGGGAAAGGAATACATATGAGAAAAGGAAAAAACAGAAGCAAAGTCTTTGTAAATAGGGAGGGGTGGAGGGGGTGAGGGAGGGAAAAAAAAAAAAAGAACTCTGCT